GACAAGTCTATGGCGATCGTTGAAAAATGGAAAGTGACGCTGGAAGGTTCCGGGATCCGTGTGGTCATCGGAGGGCACGACTCGCCTTCGCCCCGTGGAGGTCAGTTACTTTCTGCCGGGATGGGGGTTTCTCACCTGGTTCCGCGCAGTTCAGGCCCTGCCGAGCGAGGAGCCCCCCGAGTGAGGCTTGCGTTGACCCCCTCGCAGAGGTGCGCTTCTCCGCCGTTGGGGCGGATTAGTGGACTGCCGCGGCGCGCTCTTTACTTCCCAGCCCAGCTAAAAGCTTTGGGTGTTTTTACTTTGGGGGTAACTGAGTATTACTGCTCGCCTCTACTCCTTAAAATTTTTTTCTTGTGACATCAGAAAAAATTTTGTCCAATTTCTTTACAGATTTTATTTATATTTAGAGCGAGGGAGAAAGAGTGAAACATTCATGTGTGGATGCCTCTTGCGCACCCCCTACTGGGGTCCTGGCCCACAGCCGAGGCCTGTGTCCTGACTGGGAATGTAACCGGTGACCCTTTGGTTTGCAGGCTGGTGCTCGGTCCACTGAGCCACACCAGCCAGGGCACAATTTTATATGAATTTTAGAATCAGTTTTTCTGTTTCTACAAGAAGACTGTTGGCATTTTGATAAGGCTTACACTGAATCTCTGGATCAACTTGGGAGTGTTGTTATTTAGTAATAGTAAGAATGTCTTTCCATTGACTTAGGTCTTCTTTAATTTTTTCCATCCATTTTTTATCATTTGAAATTTTCATATATCAGTTATTGTAAAACATCTATGTTGTTTCTGAAATGTATATAAACAAATTGTGGTTTTTAAAAAATGAGTATGAGTACTTTCTTTTTTTTTTAATCCTCACTGGAGGACATTTTTTTCATTGTCTTTAGAGAGGAAGGGAGAAAGAGCAGGCAAGAAACATCCATGTATGAGGGAAACATTGACTGGTTGCCTTTCGTATGTGCCCCAACCAGAAACAGAACCTGCAACCCAGCTGGGTGGCCTGACTGGGAATTGAACCCACGGAGCTTTCTATTTGTGGGACAACACTCCACTCACTGAGCCACACCGTCCAGTGCATAGTATGAGTATTTCAGTGTATTCTTTAAGATGTATTGCATTTTCCGTAGTTGAATAAGAATACATTGAAGGCATTTTGATAACTGTTGTGATTGCTTGTCTAATCTCCAATTTAAAAACAAGGCCGGTAGCTCAGTTGATTAGAGCATCATCCCAATACTCCAGGACTGTGGGTTCAATTCCTGCTCAGGGCACATACAATAATCAACAAATCTGTCTTTCTCTCCCCCCCCCACTTTCTCTCCCCCTCCCACTCTCTGAAAAAAAAAAGGCCAATATATAAAAGCATGTTTTGCCTTTCATATAATACTTTTTATGGGTTACCTATAACTTGAGCCATATCACATTTGTATGTATTCTATCAAGAACAAAAAACTTGTAATATTTAAGAAATGGAGTCATCCTGCTGTCATTTTAAAGTTGCACAAGGTGGATTCTGTATCACACGGTAATAAAACAGTTGATTATATCTGAAAGGACTATTTTCCTATAATAATATGTTCTCAAATAGGAAATGTATAACATAGATCCAAAGTGTCAATTTTCAGGAATGCTGGGTTATTTTAATAGGATTCAGATTCATTTTTTACTATTTCAGTCATAATAGATGAAAACATTTCTCAGTAATGTGGTCACTTGCTAAAATCAAAATAAAACACAATCCCACCCTCTTCTCTCCAGGAGTAAGGAATGTTGCTGCCGCACTGGCCTGAGTTTTTCCTGCTGTGACCATGACAACCGGCTCCCCTCACAAAGGGTCCGGCCTCCCCAAACATCAGGCCCTGGCACAAACATTTGACTTTCTTCAAGGCAATAATATTAAAGCAAATTCCTGGTCTTTGCCGAACAGAAGATTCATTGTGGGAAACTTCCAGCTTCCTCAGTGAGCGACGTTTTCCTTCGTGGCCCAAATTCTTGGGTTTGATTTTTTTCCCTTCTAAAACCCAACTCTAATGAGCAACTCTAAACAGAACTCCTGCTAATTTACATGTGCTTGTGGAAAGCCTCCTGCTTGCTTTCATTTTCCACGTGCTGCGCTTCTGTTCCGTTCCCACGAGGCCTTTCCTGGGGCTTGCCCAGCTCTCTAGCCATGACAGAGATTTAGCCACAGCTGCCGATCCAACCCCAGGGTGGGGAGCCAGGCTCCCTGCCTGTCTTGGGGCACTTTCTCCTCTGCCTCACTGTCCCTGCAGTTGTTGGAAACCAGGACCACTCCACTGACCAGCTGAGGTGGGCCAAGCTCAAGGATTCACGCTTGAGATTCCCTTGTATGAAAACAGTACCCTCCTGGGTTCACCTTCCATAGCCCGAGGGAGGGTGGGTGGCCGCAGTGGCCCTCACTCTCCTGCTGCAGGGTGCTGGGCTTCAGTGGTTCAGGGAGGGGCCAGCCTCTCCTGCCTTGGACAGGTGCTCTCGAGGTAGAGCCAGAAGCACCTTGAGTGTGGCCTGAAGCAAACACTTAGCTAGTGTCCCCTGGGACAACCCTTTTCTGGGTTGTCTTGGTTTTGAGCATCTGAGGGATTTGCTGTGTTAACTTTGCATGCACCTGTTTTTGCTTTGTGTGACTTTTCTTGGTGTCACCACATCTGGAACTGTCTGGTTAACACGATTCGGGTGTCAGCAACCTCTTCTCCAGGGAGAGTAGTCACTGCGCCCCTAGAAGTCCCCTCAGCCCCTTCCCCTGGGGCTGAATACCTCCTCCTGCCCTCCCTGCCCTCAGCACCCAGGCTTAGCCTGCTCACTGTTAATGTCTGCACCCTTGGCTGGCCCTGTCTGCTCAGCCCGACAGCAGCCCAGGCAGCCAGGGCTCCCACACACCCCCCCCCTTGGCGCATGTGCTCTGCACCGGTTTCCCTCTGTTTAAACTCCAGCAGCCTCGAGTCCCTCCCCTCTTCCCAGAGTGTGTCTTCTCTCGAGAAGCTCCTGTAGGTCACTTTTCCTGGTGGTTTCATGTGGCATTTAACCACAGGTAATCATTGAGCTCTTTTCTCCAACTCAGCTGTAATCTCTTTGAAGGGTTTAAAACCTCTTTTAAGGGCAAGGGTTTTTAAAGAGTAAAATATAATACCCAGCCCTGTCTGGTGTGGCTCAGTGGGTTGGGGTGTCGTCCGGTATACGAAGGGGCGGGGAGTCTGATTCCCTGTCAGGGCACATGCCTGCGTTGTGGGTTCCCAGTTACAGAACGTGCAGGAGGCAACTGATAGATGTTTTTTCTTTCTCCCTCCCTCTCTTTCTAAAATCAACAAATGTGTTTAGTCCTGGCTGGTGTAGCTCAGTGGATCGAGCATGGGCCTGCGAACCAAAACATCAAGGTTCGATTCCCCGTCAGGGCACACGCCTGGGTTGCAGGCCAGTTCCCAGCAGGGAACACGTGAGAAGAAACCATACATTGGTATTTCTCTCCTCTCTCCTTCCCTTCCCTTCTAAAGATAAATTAAAAACAAAAAAATAAAATCAACATATGTGTTTAAAAACACACACGTGTAAAACACCCGTGCAGAAAAGTGCATTTGTCAGGACTGCACAGCTCAGCTCCTTCTCACAAACAGCTCGGCACATGACCAGCACCTGAGGAAGAGCTGACGTTTCTGCCCCCAGGAGCGCTGAGCCACTGTGGTCACCCATCTTTCCCCAGGAACACGCACTGTCCTGGTTCCTAATAGCACAGGTGAATCTGCTGCCTTTGCTCTGTGCAAATGTCACCACAAAGTGTCTGCCACTGAACTGGCCTCCTCAGCATCCCCGGCACTGCACAGCCCAGGACGGCCTGTTCCCGTGGTGGTGCGTGGATGGCTTCTTCGTTCCTCCTTAGTGAACGCGTTCTGTGGGGCCTGTGCGTGGCACTGCAGCTGCTGGGTTGCAGGGCGTGGACACGTCCGGACAGACACGCCTGCAGGGACCGCACCTAATGGCAGGAAATGTGCTCAGACAACTGCCAACCAGCCGTACGTGTGCTACCCCTGCCACTAGATGATTCCGTCGTGACTTCTGTCCCCCGAGACCTTCAGGAAAGCCTTCCTGTCAGGACCCTCTCAAGCACTCCGTTCAGGGGCATTTTCATTTTGTTTTTTAAAACGTATCCCCCAGGTCCAGTGTGCATTTTCTGTTTTAATGCACTGGTGCTGGTGGACCCTTTGTGGGTCAGCTCTGCGCATGTATCAGCCGCTGCACACACACGTGCAGTGGGTGCGGGTTTTCTCCCTTCGTCCTCCTCAGGCTGACCTGGTTTTCCACTGGGTCGTGTGAAGGGCTTTCCTGTGGTGTGCATCACACTAAGTTCTGTGACAGAGAATACCATTGGAAATTGAATTATAACATAGCTTTTCTTTCTTTTTAAACAGTTGGATATTCTAAAAATCAAGCAATAGCACAGAGCTCAGGGTCTTATCTTTGCTTTTTGGATGCGGTAAGTAACTTATTGCTTTATTTTAAAAATATATATATACCTATATATTGGTTAGATAATTAAATGTAAGGTCAAATGATCTTACACTTTAGTGTGGGTCTTGAAAAATCATTATTCTAATATGTTATGATCAGACTTAAAAGTTAAAGTTGATAGGTGTTTGCCGTTTAATTACCATAGCCCTGAATGAATTTATTAAGTTTTGATAAATAGGATTACATGAAAGAGCAAAATTACGTAGAGGGAACCATATAAACAGAGATGAGGATAAAATAGGAAGATATTCACAAATACAATTCTTAAAAGATTAAGTATTGTGTTAATTAAAAGATGAATAACCTCACCCTGGCATGTGTGGCTCAGTGGCTGGAGCGTCGTCCCGGAACCAAAAGGCTGTGGGTTCAATTCCCGGTCAGGGCGCAGATCCCGGTCTGGGTGTGTGCAAAGGCGACCAATCTTTCACATCGATGTTTCTCTCTCTCCCTTCTTCTCTATCTCTAGAAAAGCAAATGAAAATGTCCACGCGTAAGGATAAAAAAAGAAAAGATTAATAGCCTTAAGAATAAATAATTTATGTAAGTTGATAGGCAAACACAAAGAAAAATGGGTGGTGATAAATGGGAAAGGACAGGAGTGGGGACTTTCCCAAAAGTAGATGTACAAATGACAAACTGCAAAAAAAGAAACGAATTAAGTTGGTGACATACTACTTCTAAAAACCAGATTAACAAAGTTCTAAAATTGTAGGTAGTTGGAGAGTGTGAGCTGGTCCTGGTGATGGCACCTCTGTGCAGTGCGGACCAGAACTCGGAACGTGCTTGTGCCCCGGGCCCCTGACCTCACTTCCAGGTAGCACAGTTTCTGAAAGACGCAGCAGTACTCTCTGCTGGGACAGGAGGTGGGGACGAGACCGTGTGCGGTGGTGACAGTGAAGTCAGCTGTGGCGGATCTGTGGGAGGGAGTTTGTATTGCAGAGTTTTAATAACGTGATGAATGACTCTGAGCAGTGAATGAAAAATCCGTGCCTGCGCATGCCGTGGGCACTCAGCGACGGGTTTTCTCTGTGCGGACTTTAAGGCACACCTGAAGCACACCCACCTGCACTCAGTCTTGCACTCGGAACTTGCCCCCAGGCCCCCTTTCCTGGGTCTGGGGTGCAGGGCTTCCATGCTTCTGTGCGGTTCTTGGGGGCCACTGGTTTCCTTCCGGAGGTCAGGCTGGCCCAGAGGTTCTGCTTGTGCTGAACCGATTCACATGGGAACCTTCTCTCCATCTCCTGTTGACAGCCTTGTCTTTGACCACCTGCAGCCTGTGCGCAGGGTCTCCTGCGTGTGGAGGCTGGGGGAGATGAGGTGGTGTGCAGGCCGGCACCGGGAAACTGCCTGCACACAGCCCTGCTCTTGAAAACAAAGCCCCAGCAGGGGCTGCGATTTCCTGTCCTGCTGCCTTGGTCTCTTTCATCTCCCCTCATTTTTTCTTAGGGTGAAACTCCTCAGATTTTTCATACAGGGGACACTCAGGGGTCCCTCTTGTTCCGTCGTCTCTTTTCAGACCCTGCTCTGGGGCCTGCTTCACACTCCTGTGGTCCGTCAGCACTTTCATACGTGAAGATAGTTTTTGCTGCGAACAGGCCTGTGCAAGTGTTTGTGTGGGTGACGCTCTCAGTTCTACCAGGTGTGACTAGGGTCACATTGTGACTGTTTCATGTTGTGAGGAACTACCAGAACGTTTTCCAAAGTGGCTGCACCATCTTACATTCTCACCAGCAATACATGAAAGTTATTTGATATTTTTTGATATGTGGCATTTTAAAAACTTCGTAGATGTGAAGAAATTAATTTATCAATCTTGTATCCAGAAACCTTGCTAAATTCACTTTTTATTATTATTGTTTTTTATCCTCACCCAAGGGCATTTATATTTGCTTTTTTAGAGAGAGGGGGAAGGCAGAGAGAGAAACATCGATGGGAGAGAAGCACTGATTGGTCGGTTGCCTGTGCACACACCCAGACTGGGGAACCACCCCAGGACCCAGGACTGGTAGGCATCCAGCCCCGGCATTAAATCCACTTTTTTTTTTAAATAATTTTTTTTAGATTTTATTTATTTATCTTTAGAGGGGAAGGAGAGAGGGAGAGAAACATCAATGTATGGTTGTCTCTAGTGCATCCCCTGCAGGGAACTGGCCTGCAGGGAACCTGCCTGCAACCCGGGCATGTGCCCTGACTGGAAATCAAACCGTGATCCTCTGGTTCACAGGCCTGTGCTCAATCCACTGAGCTACACCAGCCAGGGCTCAAATCCACTTTTAATTTTAATATTTCTCTGTGGATACTCTTGAATTACTTATGTACATAGTCTTCTTCCCTCTTCCTAATCCTATTTCCTTTTTTTTTTTTTCCCTTAAGTCTCAGTAATTTGTTAAACAGAAGTTATGAGCGTGGCCATTCTTCTCTCCTTCCCAATCTCAAAACAGAGAGCTGAACCCTTCCACTGCTAAGCGTGTTGTTTGTAGTGGGCTGCTCCGGGTGCACCCTCACTCTAGTTAGTTAGGTAGGTAGGCTCCGGGCCAGAAGCTGCAGATTACAGGACATCCTGAGACAGAAGAGGGGAGGGTGGCAGTGCTTCAGTCCCAGCCCCACTGCAAATGGTGTCCCTCTGCAGTGACACCCCTCCCCTGCCACCCCTGGCCGGGTCTGGCTGCTGGGCAGCGTCTGAAGTGCCTTTCTGGTCTGTTTGCCGTTTGCTGTTCTTTCGTGTCTGTCTGGTGCTTCCCGTGAGTTAACGTGGGCTCCCCCTGCAGGACGACGTGATGATGCCGCCGAGAGTGAGGCTGCAGCTCGAAGCTGCCGTGCAGCACCCGGCAAGCGTAAGTGCTGACGTCTGGTTCTGTGCTTCCCTACCTCGGACAACATGGCCATTACAGCCTTGTGTTTACTTATTTTTCTTGGTACGAAGAGACCTGTTTATTACTGATAACACTTCATTTGGCTAAAACTACAAAAAATCCACACACAGTTACTTAGAGTGCAAGTTCTCACAGACAGTATTTACAACACTTTTTTTAGGGAAAGATGGGAAGATAGTGACAGGAACTGTTCAAATAAGGGCACAGTTTTGAACTACTGCTCACAGTCAGAAAATTTATCGATTCTTAACTGCAAATATTTTATTGGTGCCCAAATATTATTTTGTCTGGTGTATTCAGTGATTGTACAAAGAGTTTCCCTTGGCCTATAAGCAGAAGGCCTCACCATCTATAGATGCAGACTCTTGTGTGAGTGGCTCTCGGGAGACACACGCTGAATCATAGCCTTGAACAAATTGACTGAGTATTATCAAATCCATTGTGACCCACTTGATCATCACAGCTTTTTAAATTCAGGTTCTGCCTCAGGGTGGGAAGAGCTGGGTCAGGGCAGCGCTGCCCAACCCAGGGGACCGTCTGTGGTGAGTACGTCTGCAGACACCCCAGGGAGTTTCCCCTCGCAGGAGGGCATGGCCTCTTGTTCTGGGCAGCACTCGTTGCTTTCAGACGGGCACAGAGGGTTTCTTGGTCTACTTCTGTTGTGTTCAGTCAGTTTCTTAGAAGCTGTGTACCTTGGACCTGAGGACACAGGCTGAGAGCTGCAAGTGTGTCAGCTTCAGGCTTCAAGAAATCCCTCCTTCCACCCAGACGGCCTCACTTGTGCTCTCCTCATTGTTAGAACAGCTTCCCAGGTGGCCCCAAGCCAGCTTCTCTGGGACCCAGCATCCCGAGCACCTGCCGAGGGCTCCCTCCTCAGCAGCTGTGTGCACCACGGCCCCGAGGGAGCCCTGTGTAGGGAGGCAGCGCACTCCCGCACGAGCGCCTGGCTGAGTCTGCTGATCCTCCCGATACAGAGTGTGTTTGACTCCCGGGGTCGACATGCCCTCCCCGGACGACGAAGGAACAGACCCCTGAGCTCCAGGGTAGCAGATCCCCAAGGGCCATCAGTGACCGGCCTGGTGCCCACTGTCCCAGCCTAACATCCTGCTCTGCCTTCAGGCTCTGTGAACACGCATGTTTCTTCACAGTCTAGGGCCACTGCTGTCACAGTTCCCGTCCTGTGGGCCTGGCTGGCCCCTTTCTGCCTGGAGGCTGGACCCCGACTGCGGGACCCCAGTCCTGCCTCATCCCGCTGGATTACCCGTGGTCTGCTGTCCCTGGAGAGTTCAGTGCCCCTGCTCTGCACCTGGCCAGCCTTATGTGCACCTGTGTTGCCCGGGACCCACCTGTTGGACTGGGAGTTCCCGGGAACAGGGATCCCATCTCTGTCATTTTGTGTCTCAGATAAAAGATGTGTGTGTAATCGGTGCTCGGGTGTTAGTTGTGTGCTCAGGAAATGGTTTTCCAGTGAAGGTGATGTAAATGGGATGGGGGTACAGAAGGAGAAAAGAACCAGCCCCCACACAGGCTAGTGCCCCGAGAACCGAACTGAGGCTCCGGCCTCCCCACAGCAGCCTGTCCAGTGCCAGGTGCGGGTTCGTTGCCGCAGCAGTAGGCCCTGGGGTGGTGGAGAGGCAGCCACGCAGTCTCTGTGCTGCCACCGCTTCCTTGCAGGGCATCTCGGGATGGAGTCGGCCGGCATGTCGCCCAGGATGGCCTCCCCCAGAGTCAGTGGCCATGGACTCCAGCCATGTCTACAAAGCCTTCCCAGGGCACACAGATAAGCGTGTGAGTGACTGTCAACAGCAGCCTCCCCTGAGGACACGAACCTCACCAGGACAGGGTGGAGGATGCTTGTGGCCAGCGAGCCCAGGTCAGAGCTGAGTCCAGAGTGCAGGAAGGTGTGAAACTGCCAGCAGACCTGTCCCCAAGGTGTGGAAGCTGAGAGGACATGAGACCCTTCGTAGTAGCAGCAGGCACCCCAGTGTAGCTCTGTGGCTCCCACCAGATTCTGAAAAAGGTGTGAGAGCCTGAGCCTGAGAACCATGGCGTGTGCATGACAGACCCTGGGGCCCCATAGTTAGGCTCCTGCAATGTTCCCCATCTGAAAGTTTTCTTCCTTCCTGTCCCATTTGGGACAGGTGTCAGAGAACGTGCCTGTACACAGCGTTGGGACAGTTAGCTGCTTCTGGGAGCCTTATGGGAACATTGTCCAGCTCTGGGCAGTGGGCCTGACCTTGAACTTGCAGGACCCCTGGTCTTAGGGCATCATCGGATTCTCTGTGGAGGTCAGTAAACCGGCCTCCAGAGATGTGGACGGAGAGGAGGTGCACAAACAAGGTGTCGTGGTCAGGCTCCTCCGCTGGGAAGAGGAAGGAGCAGGAAGATGTCCTGGGCGGACTCCTGCGCACAGGTCACATCTGCAGACTTGCAGCCGTTTCTCTCACTGGCCCCGACAGGTGTGACGGTGTCACAGGTGGCCAGAGCCCAGAGTAGCAGCCCAGTGTCTCCCAAGTGTGAGTTGCATTTGACAGCCAAACCAACAGCCGAGCCAGATATTGTTGCTTTTATGGGTCCATGGTCCCTGCCACCATGTGAGCCTGGGCAGTACAGCTGTGCACGCAGGGTCGCACCCCACGGGAGGTGGGCGTGTGTCTGGGCAGTTGGGCGAGCCGTCCACGTGAGGTGCCACGTCTTCGGGCACGGTGACCGCCACACAGCACTTCCCAAGCATTCAAACGTTTCCCACACTGGAACTGCTAACGCGTTCTGTTACCAGTGGCCACATTTTGGAGAGTGAGACACTTTCAGATACGTTGTTTTCCACCTCTTTCAAACCGAGGAAACTTAAACACGATTGTCTCATTAATGAAGTTATTTTGGGCAGCTCCACACACACAGGCTCAAATGCACCACGGTATCTGGGGATGTGCGAAGAATTTGGAGAAAAGGAAGATTGTCCGTTCGTCATTAATTCATCAAAACTACCTTGTTTTGCGTTTTTATAAAGTCCTGGCATAAAGCTTTTCTGCTGACCTTCTAGCCAGATTCCCATTCGAGAGCAGCTGCCTCCTGTGGGTCCTCCAGGCTGGGCAGCGGTGTGGGGTCCAGCGAAGGCCAGGGACGGCTTCACGGTTGTGTCGGAACAAAGCAGCTTTAGAGCACTCGTTACTGTGGAGTTGAATTTTTTTTTAAATCATGACCTACAAAAATCTTAATTTGCAGTTGCTGGTTGGTGGTTTTGTGAATTGTATCTCATATATAGTTTGGAAAGAATGAAACGAATGGTAAGTGTGTGCTTGCCCAGGGTCACTGTTTTTAAGGCCAGTCACAAGAAAACCATTTAATTGTGAAGGAAGGGCCCCTGGTGGCAGCCTCTCTAAGTGGCGCGGCTGCATGTTCTCTGCAAAACTTTGGGGCGTCCCTGGGCAGCTCCCACTTTGGCATTGTCCACCATGTACTGAAACTTCCTGAGCGGAGACCAGCTGTGGAACAGGAGCTGGGGCGGAGGGGGCACTTTTCCAAGGTGCGTGGCATCCTGGGATGTTTCCAGCACAGGCTGATGGCTCCTCCTCCGCAGCCGTGCACCAGATGGGCCTCGTGTGGGACATCCCTGACATCAGTGAGTCCCCGGGAGCTCCACAGTGGGTGCGGGAGCACCCTGTCAGGGGATGCGTGGTGGTGGCAGCAGGAACCTCTGTCTTTGCAGTGCCCAGGGCTACAGGTGAGGTGGCACAGGCCCCGGGCTTCACTCAGCCTGCTTCTGAGCACTGGCCACGCCCAGAGCCTGGTGAGCACAGTGGCCTCTGCTCTGAAGCCTAAGGTCTGGTGCAGGGCTAAAAGGTTGGTGTGCGTTCCCCCACCCCCGTGCCATCACCAAAGAGCACCAGCCCCGGCAGAGAGGCAGGCCCCCCCCCCCCCGCGGGCGGCATAGGAAAAGCGCGTGGTGTGCACCGCAGGCGCCTCTTCAGGGAGAAGGGTCTGTGTGGTTCGCCCCCGGCTGCCCTGGGCTCCAGGCCAGTGCGCCTTAAAGGGCGAGTGAAACCCCCTCCACTTCTTCGTTTGTGGACCGTGCTCACGGTGACTGTCTCAGAGTTGTGGTTCAAAAGTGCCAGGTTCCCACGATCCCTACCTAACCCTGCCCCTCCATGGGACACCTGCCCAGCGTGGCTGCAGCCTTCATCAGCGGCAACGGCTGAGTCTGCTCCCATCCAAAAGGAGCTCGTCCGCAGCTCACACAGTCTGGCCGAGAGGAAGCTCTCAGAGGGGCTGGCCTGTTACCCTTGGGCAGCTCTCGGTGACACAGTGGTTCTGGGGCTCAGGGCCTTGGTCTTTGTCATGGAAGGTTAGCCCCTTTGCCTCATGTTTGGGAATTCCTTTGAAATGAAGGGTTCCTACCTCACTGCTTTTGACCAACAATTTCCCTCAAAATCTTTTCATTTCAGCAACCAAATGCAAACCAGTTTGGACAAGGCTAGAAGGTCAACGCGACAGAAATACGTCAGACAGGGTGTGGGGGAGACTTACACAGGGCAGGGCGAACAACCCAGAGCCACTCTGATTCACAGCATTGTCAGCGTGTGCTGTAGGGGGTGTGTCTAAGAGGCTCACAAGCACAATTCAGCAACATGGGAAAACCACACACCTGTAGCCAGTTGTGTCTGACCACAATCAGAAAGTGGAGAGAAGACATGAAAGCCATTTCACCAAAGAGGATGGACAGGTGGCAAATAATCCCATGGGAAGAGGGCCAACATGGCAGATTAAATCACAGCGAGGTATCAGCACACACTTGTCAGAAAGAAACATTAGGAAACACCATGACACCGAATGCTGGGGAGGATGCTGGTGGGGGCAGGGGGAGGCGGTGAACAGTGCGGCCGCTCTGGAGGACAGTCTGGCACTTTCTTAAACCAAACACGCACCTACCGTGTGACCCGGCAGTCACACTCCTGGGCATCCATCCCAGAGAAGCAAAGGCTTGTGTTCACTGGGACACCTGAATGTGAACGCTTACAGCCGACTAATAGTACTTCCTAGTGGTAGGACTCAAAATTCACGGGATTTAATAATGTTCATCCCCAAACTGGAAAAAATGCAGACATCCTGTAGCAGATGAAACAGACTGTGGTTTATCTGTAGTGTGGACTATTTTCAGCCAAAAGAATAAATTATTGTTACAACAGCCCGGGCGAATCTCCGGAGAATTGTGGGGTAGGAAAAAAGCCCAGTCCCCAAAGGCCACCTACAACGTGACGTGTTCGGACGGCATTCGTGGAGAGACACGGCTGCGGGAGAGAGCAGGGTGGGCATGGCTGTGAAAGTGCCGCGGGGCCTCGTGGTGCTGGGACCCTCGGTGTCCCTGGGCTCCTGGGTGGCCTTGTGCTGTAGTTTTCACGATGAGAGAAACTGTGCGGAGGGCACACGGATCTCTGCATTTTTTCTCACTACATATGAATCCACCAGTTTCTCAAAAAAAGTATAATTAAAAACTCAACAATAGAAACAACAAGCGAGCAAAACCGTCTCAAACTCACGGGACAAATCCACTAATATCAGCTGGTCGCTGTGTGTCAGTGGTGAGACTTCTGGTGTATTCTTAGTAAGGACACTCAGCTGATGATGGAGGTTGTCATACTCACCTCTGGTTTTTCTTACTGGTTCTGCGTTGGTCAGTGAGGTGACAACAGTGTTGTCACTGACGCCATCCAATGTTGGTGTCACGCCCATGGCAGGCTCTGTGAGATTCTCGTGGGGGTTCTGTGGGCCCCGGGACCTCACTAAGGGGCAGACACCCCCCAGCTGCCTGCCCCCAGCCACAAAGGGGAGGAAGGCTCAGTTCTCTGCCTTTGTGGGGACCCCCAACAGCAGGGACAGCCCACTCCAGACCCACCCGAACCACCTCAGGGATGAGCAGGCAGATCCTTCAGCAGTGCAGGGGGCCCTCCTAGATTTCCAGGTACTGTGGGGAACAGGTCAGGGTCAGGGGTGCGAGGCCAGTGGACGGAGGGGAGGGGGACGTGTGGACTGCTGGAGGCAGGGCCAGGCTTCCAGCACAGGGAGGGAGTCACGCAGCCGAGGGCTCCTCCAGGGGAGCTGAGCGCCCACCAGGTGGCCTGGCAGCCCCAGCGAGGGCGCTGGCCCCTGGGAAAGTGAGCTCTAAGCACCTCAGCTTTGGTTGATGTAGAGGTTCCTGCTTTCAGGAGGCGAGAAATGGACCGGTCAGTTTTGCTGCCCCAGAGGTGCAGTGGTGACCTCATGTCTGCTATGAGTTAAGGTTCAAGAAGAGCATTTCTGAAAGTAATTTGACATTCGAAGTTGTATGTCAGTCACTTGAATGAATACATTACAGGAAAGCGTCATCTGTGTCGAATAAGTCAAGAACAGCTCAGGGTCGTCCGGTGCAGGGTCATGAGCAGAGCCCTGCCTGCCCCTCCTCCTCCTCACTCAGGAGGCTCTCCCTAACCCGGCCCAGAGGCACCAGCTCTTGCCAGGTGAGCGGCAGGTGTGCTCACGGGAGCTCATGGTGACTTCCTTCTGTGTCCCAGATCATAGGTTGCCAAGTGAGGAGAGAGCCCCCCAACTCCACAGAACGATACACGCGTTGGATCAACCAACTGACGTCCAACCAGCTTCTTACACAGGTACTTGCTTCCCAGTCTAGGAGTTGTCCAAGGCCTCCCTGGAGAGCGTGCCTTCTTAGTGCTGAGAGCCCCGATGTGGCTCATCCTCTCAGCACTGGTTCGCCCGCCTCCAGGGTGCCAGGTGCTCCCTGGGAAAAGGATAGTGTTTCAGAGCAGCGTGGTGGGGCTTGCGGGGGAGGTGGAGCCTAAGGGCCATTCTGGGAGGTGGAGGGCTTGCTGCAGCCAGGCTGGGCTGGGAGGGAGATGCACCGCCTGGGTGGGGCTGTCCACAGGCGGTCAGCCGCTGACCCTGAGCTGCAAGGAGTCGTAGGCTGAAATCAAACTGGAAGCCACCTGCGAGGGGTGTGGGATGGCCAGGACAGATGGCAGGAGCGGGGCAGCCTCGCCACCCCAGCCAGGACACAGCAGGTTCTAACACGGAGGTTCCCACACAGTTACCCCTGTGTTCCTGCCACATCAAGAAATGCTTTTTCCTAAACTGAATTTGGAAAACAGAAATCTCTGTATAACCGAACGATTTGTGTGGTAATTAGCACCTGAAATTAGAGCTTCTGGTGACTGTGGCTCAGACACTGAGCTCACTCAACACACCACCAGGCGGAGAAGGTCCTGAGTGTACCAAACCTGGGACGCACGTTCCTGCCCTCCCGTGTCACACGCTGGGGGTGGTCCAGATGACTGACCCCTTCCTGCTGGCTCCTTGTTTGTCTGAGGCTTGGCCGCTGGGTTTTGTCTCCCGAAGCTGCATCACTGGCTTCCACATCCCGTCCGTAGCAGGCAGGCTCACAGGCAGTGCGTCTGCGTCTGGGGGCCTTCTCACATTTTGAGGCGAATGTCCCTTAACGACCTTTCCGAGGTGATAGTGGTTAAGGAGCAGGGACACTGGTGCACCTCCCCTGCCCCTGCAGAGTCTCAGGGCTGGGTCAGCAGGGCTGGCACTCGCCTCCCGTCACCCAGTGCTTCCAGGGTCAGGCTGCTGCTCTGGGAGTGCAAAGCTTAGTTCTCCGACAGTCACCTCCCTCTGTGAGTCCCAGGTGGCTTCCCAGCCTGGCACGTGGGGTGTGCGACCACCTCAGATGGGTTAGCTGCACCATCTTCTCTGGGTCCTGGTGTTGCTTGTAGGACATACCTCGCGGGTCTGAACCATCGAACCCACGTGGTCCAGACTGGAACACACTGCTGAGGGTTCTGGTGGTACGCTGACCTGTTGGTAGGATTTGTCCAGCCCCATGCCACGCGGAGAACAGGCACCTGTGCTTCCTGGTCCTTCCTCCGTCCAGAGGTCAGCCTCAGGCTCGCGGGCTGGGCATGGGCCTCCCACGTGGAGATGGTTTCTCAGGACATCCACTCACGGTTTTTTTGTATGTTTTCCTGAACCAAGAATGACAGCTGACTCAGCGGAGCTTCAGTGGGGTGCCCTGCCCAGAGGTCCCCTGCTTTCAGGCACTCAGATGCTGCTGGACCGGGAGGGGCAGGCTCCACTCTGCCAAGAGGCCTTGGAAGGACACTTTGGTGCCCAGTCTGAAACCCGAGTAAGGGGTAGATCACCCGAGGGAGTGAAGCTGCTGAGCCGGACTCCTGACCTGCATTTGATTTTTGGGTGAAATAAGACTCACGCAGGAAGTGTGCAACTGCCTCTAATGAGCAGGCATGTTTTCAGCTAGAAATACAAGTTCTGAGCTGAGGCTGACAGGAAGCCTGAGCTGTTACACATCATAGAAACAGTGAAGGTAGGATGCTCCTAAATGGTTTTCTTTAGCAAATCAGGGGACCTTAAAGTCTGAAGTTTCTTAAAATAAATTGAAAGAAGAAATTGAGAAGCAACTTCATCTCTTACTGAAGTTGCTTCTCAACTACCAGTTACAGAACCCCCCCACCCCCCGCCCCACTGCTCCGAGGAGGCAAATCGCTACCCGGTGAGGCCTGCGTTTGGTCTCCACACCCTCCGCCTTCGAGCGGTGCGAGGAGCACCGTTTGGTGTGATGTTTGAGCTGAGCAGACACTGACTGCAGAGTTCCACCGGTGCGCGCAGGTGACGCTGCACCGACTCCAGATGAACGGGGAGGGGGCAGCTGTCTGCACGGAACAGCTGGGGCTGGGGCTGCCCTGGGAGCCCCCTGACAGGCCTTCCGTGGGGAGCTGTTCCCAAGGGAACCGAATCTCCTGAGACGAGGGAGGGAGCAAGGGAGAGGCTGCCCCTGGGGGTCTGGCCAGGCCCTGAGGGAGCCAGTGCCTGGCTCTGGACTAAGACCGGAAGCAGATGGGAAGTACCCCCGCCTTCCCCCTCCCCTGTGCACCCCCTCTGGGGTCCATGCTTCCTGGAGTTGCCACTTGCTTATGCTGTCATGACTAACACAGCAGACACTCACTCCTTAGTCTGGAGGCTGGAAGTCCAAGGTCAAGGTGTCCGCAGGGCTGGTTTCTCCTGAGGCCACCTTCTGCCTGTGTCCTCATTCCCGGGGTCTCTTCCTCTTCTTGTGAGGACACCAGTCCCAGGAATCCCTTGTCCTTACCTCCCTCCATGCAGTCCCACTGGAGGTTAGGGCTGCCATGCGGGCTCCAGCCCACAGCTCTCGGACACCCTCCTTGGCTCCTCCTCAGACCTCGGCGGCGTCTTGGCAGATGTCAGGGCAGCCCCGCTGGGTACTCTGCTGGGGGTGGCTGGCCTTCCAGGGCTCTGGGCGTGATTTTTCATCTCATCAGCACTGGTCACCCTGGTCCCAGACTGGCTGACAAAAGCACTGGCCATAGTGATGGGTTTGGGGGTACCGTGCACTCCTTCCCTGTCGAGAAGGACCCCAGAGAGAGAAGGAGAGCTGGAGAGGACACCCTTGGGTGAGAGCCCAGCCCACCTTGTGGGGTCAGTAGCAGTGGTGATGGTGGGGGAGCAGAGGCGGGCCGACCCCAGAAGGTCTCTCCTGCGTCCTGGCCCCGATGTCGAGGGCCACGACCACACTGCTGTCCTGGTCCTGACTGGGCCCACCCAGCCTGTATGGACGTGGTGCCGCAGGCCAGTCGCTGCCCCAGAGGCCCAGGGCCTTCTGCCAGCAGTGGGACCTCTGCTCAGTGTTACTTCCATGAAATGTGAGGCTTCAGCCACAAGACCTAGGGCCTGCAGCGCCGACTGCTCTGTGACACGCCCACCTGTAGACACGTAGCCTCCTTCGGGCAGCAGAGCCAAGGAGAAGATGGGGGGCCACACGCTCGAGGGACGGCCCCTCACCCTCGAGCTGCCAGGCCCTGAGGCACAGACAGAGCTTCTCCATTTGTGTGAAGACGTGAGATCTCACGTGTACCTCAGTGTGTCTTCCTGACACGCTTGTCCAAGCTCAGCGGTTTCTCCCTAACTCTGACGGCCGCATTTGTGAAACCTGAAACCTGGTGTGCTCTGCTCCACCTCCTCCCGTGAAGACAGTGGTGCGGGTCCGGGAAGGCGCACCCGTTAGGGCGGGGCTGCTCCCCAGCCTTCTCTGTGCCGTCCCTGAGGAAGGAAGCCACTCACCCGCCACTGTGGCTGTTAAGTCCAGATGCCACATCAAAGTTTATTCTCGTTGCCGTGTGGATGTCAAAATGTCAGAATACTGGAAACTTATCTGTCCAAAGATAGTCTTCCAACAAGTTAGAACCTAGAAGTAAGGATAAGGAGCCACAGAGCTCCAGGGATGAGTCACTACAGACTTTGCTCTTGTTCTGAAAGAATCATCACTTCCTGCGGAGGTACAGCTATGGGGTCTGCAAGTTTTTCTAAATGCTCATGTTCTTTCTAATGCCAGGGCATCTCCTTTTTGCATAAAACCTGAGCTCATTTTAAATCTATAATCCTTACTTCCTTTTCCTTTTAAGTGCTGAAAGCATTTAAAAGTGTCTGCCGTACCCACCACCCTTCCTGGGCCTTTCTTGAGGACCAAGGACAAGGGCAGCTCATGGGGTCTGTTTCAGTTTATTCTGTATCTGAGCTGCCTCCGGACAGACTTTCCATGTTTGGGAGCTACGTACAACTCATGTTTGCCACAGGCACTTTCTGTTGGTGCCAAACAAGGGGAGTGCCCCACATTCCAGGCTCCGCAGAACAGCAGCCTGGGCCTGCGAGGCCTCACGTGGGGAACCTTCTTTGGGGCAAAATTCTAAGAAACTGGGTTGTCTGATTTCTCAGTTGGTGACACAGTGGGGGGGGGGGGTGACAGCTGGAGAGTGAAGAGGAAACAGTAGTCAATGAAATGGATTAGAAAATCCAGCATCGGTCTCAGTCTCTCGGCAGGGGAGGGGGTGGTGGCCTCGGTGAAGTGTGTGTGGGGGCCACCTCGAAGCCCTGCTCCTTGTTTGTGCTACAGGTGAGCTGCAGACACAGCCTCAGGGTTTTGACACTGAACCTCTGACCACGGCTCCCCCCCCCCCCCCCCCCCCGTCCCTCCTTATGGCCCAGAGCGCCCTCTGCTGGGCTGTGCAGCACCGGAGTCCCCTGGCACCATTTGAGCAGCAGGTTCATTACCTGTAATTTACCTACGGGTGTAAGAACATACAAAACCAAAGTGAAAGCATTTATGCCTCTTGGGCCCATTTCATTTGGGGTCCAAGAATTCTGAGTCTGCTGGGGGAGGCAGGCTCAGCAATCGAAGCAGTTTTCGTCGGAGTCAAAGTCCCACGCCTCACCAGTTAGGCCAGGGCGCAGCAGGTTGGTCTGCCGCCTGTTTTGTAAACAAAGTTTGATTGGCGCGCAGCCAGGCCTTCGGTGCCCATGGTTCCAGGGCTGCTCCGCACGGCGCCAGCTAGAGCTGGGTGACAGACAAGCAGTCGAGGCACCAGCCCCGGCTGTGAGTGCAGCAGGGTCTGCAGTCCCCGAGAGTCCTGACGTCTCCCAGGGGAAGCGGAGGCCTGGCAGTGAGGGGGGGAGCTGGGCATGAAGGCATCTGCTCTCCCTGGTGCTGTCACACTGACCTTCACGTAGTGACTTTCCAGACACGCGTCATTTGTGCAGGGCTTTCTCTCATAAGGAAATAGGCTGGGCGCATGGGCTGCGGAGTTTAATTCTACTTTCTTTCTCCCCCAGCATGGCACCCAGTCATCCTAAGCAGAGCCTCTTATGCAGGTGGCAGGGGGCCGAGGTGCCCTAAAACATTCCAGGGGCCACACCTTGAGAGCCAGAGGTTGGGGTGGGGCAGGAATCGATGCCCCACACCTGGCCTCTCCTCGCTAGTTGGATGCTGGCCTTTGTCACCACCGAGAGCCTCATGCAGTCACCTGGGACTTCTTCATTCGAGGGACAGCGTGGCAGAGGGAGATAAACATGTTTCCCAGGAAAACTCATCTTTGAGAGTTTGTAATTGTATGATCTCCTTCCATCTCTCACCTGCAGTGCACCCACTTTGAAGAGAAACAGGCCGCTCAGCAAAGGCGCTTCTCTTTCTTCATGCACTGCACTTAAGTGGTTCTGACCAGGTGCTGTCTGGCCAGCAGGTTGCTGCTGCCAGCGCTGTCCTGGCCCCTGGTCTCTGACCTCTGGCCTCTGACCTGGCAGAAGCTGAGGCTCATCCAGAGCCCTGAGTAATGTAGGGTTGTGCAGCAGCAGTCCCAGGAGGAGAGAGAACCATAGCGGGTGTGTGTTGTGTGAGCCATTTCCATGCGAGCCAGCCAGCCTTTCGCATGGGGACACCCAGGTGCTCACAGAGACGAAGCCCCGGGGTGAACACGCTGACCGTTAGAATGTGCCGGCCAGCAGACTTGGGTTATTTGTTCCCACCGAGGACGACACTTTCCTGGGCGTCTGCTGTGTGTTGGGAACAGCTGCTTCCTGTCTGCAAGTTCGGGGGGCTGTGGAGTGAACACAGACCGTTTCACCGAGCATCAGGTGTCCTCTAGTCTGGAGGTGACAGCCCACCGGGCTCTGGAAACATATGGAGGTTGTCCCAATGGGTGTTTCCTGCTGCTGGGTGGTGCTGAGCAGCTGGCCCCTCTGTGTGCCCAGCGACCCCTGAACACCAACGCTGCCTTTTGGAGGAAGGAGACTTGACAAACAATGAGCGCTGCTGAAAAGCAAGAACGCAGAAAAGCTAGAAAGAAACCATCAGGACATCTGTCCTTGTTCTGACAGGACAGAAAAGTCACCTCAGTGTCATGCTTCCTTTGCTCTTTTCTGTTCCATTTCTGTCCTTGTGCTCCTGTCACCCTTAAGGTAACGTAGGTGCCAGGTGTGTGTGCTGGAGCCCACAGTGGCTGCCGGGGCCCTGCTGTGCCACGGCCTTGCTGTCAGTCCACAGCCAGGGGGGCTTCTTCACCAACAGCCTGTCGGCGTCAGCCTAGTGGGGGCTGGGGTGGGGCTGGCCTCGGCCGTGGGAGGGGGAAGTGTCCATCTGGCGGTCAGATCTCCTGAACCCTTGTACCTACAGAGAAGGGACGTGCAAACAAGCTTGTCACTTTCTGATGACACGCTGTGGGAAATTAATTGTAGGGTGCTTGTGACAAGCTGTTCTTAATCCTGCCGATGTCGATGGCTTCTAGGTTTTTACCTCCAACGGCCCAACCGTGATCATGCCCTCCTGGTTCTGCTCTCGAGCGTGGTTTTTGCACGTGGGCCCGTTCGACGAAGGTGGGCAGGTAAGTGTGACTCCCCCATGGAGCCCTCCTCTGGGGGTGGGGGAAGGGTCTGTCACTCCCAAAATGGGTCCTTGGCCCACTTGTAGGTCTCGGGGCTTAGAAATCACCGTCTGTGACGGTCCCCCCACACTGCTGCCGCTGGGCTCTGCCGAGCGTCCCAGAGCACAGCTGGGCTGGGGCATGTTTGTTTTGCCAAAAGCAGGGGATTTCTGTGTGGAAGCTGCAGGCGCCCGGGCCCGGGCCCCCAGTTACCTCATCCTGGGTGAGAAGCTGCTTGTGGGAAAGCTTGGGATGTGGAGGATGGGGTGATTGGTGGGGGAGGCGCAGCCTGTCTCCCCTTCCCCCGCCCCTGTGGGCGGCGGCCCCGGCACACTCCTGCCCAGACCCGGCAGGAGCTCTGGCCACCCTGGCCTAGGAATGGAGACCTGGCTGCTGACCTGCTGACCAGCCCCTCTGCAGACAGTCTGACCGAACGTTCCAACAGCTGACTAGCAGGCGCACCTCACGCCCTGGCCCGTGTGGCCCACTGGCCTCGGTGTTGTCCTGTAGACCAAAAGCTTGAGGGTGCAGACCCTGGTTGAAGTGTGTATGGGAGGCAGCCAATCGGTGTGTCTCTCACATCGATGTTTCTTCCTCCCAGAGTGTAAACCTCAGGGCTGATGAGTGTAGTCCACCCCCACCCACCCCACCCCGGCCTTAGACTGGCCTTGAGAGCACGAGGCCTGGTCTCCATGGTTGGAGGGGTGGACCAAGCCGCCGCCACCCTTCTCCAGTGCCTCACGGTGCTGCATGTGGCCGCCGTTCCCCAGCAACGCCCGTAGGCTGCGGCAGCCGGGTGTGTGGTTAGCAGGCTGTGAGCGGGAGGGTGAAGGCTGGCCAAGTGGGTTGCCACCTGAGGCCTGAATGAGCAAACTCAGGCACAAAGCAGGGGGCGTGGACCTGTTCTCCTCCCCTGTGCAGGGTGTGCCCGAGGACCTGCTGTTCTTCTACGACCACCTCCGAAAGGGCGGCGGGGTTGTCCGGGTGGACCAGAGCCTCCTCCTCTACCGCTACCACCCCAGCGCAGCCACGCACTCCGTCCTCGAGTACGCAGGGCCTGGCGCGGGCGGGGCAGGGGGTGCTGTGGACTTCGAGGGCCGGCTGAGGCCCACGGTCCCGTGTAAGTTAACTCGGGATGGAGTTCACGTGCAGGAAGTGACTTCAGGTGGGCGGGGGTGTCCGCTGCCACCCCAGCTGAGGGAACCGGGGTCGAGCCACACACGTACTTGGGGCGCCATGGGGAGGCCAGCTCGCACCCTCCTTCCCTTGTCCCCCTCGGGGCCTGAGCCGCTGCACCGGGTGGGCGGGAGGCAGGCTGCCTGGATGGGATGGGAGCGGGGTGCTGTGCGGCGGGCTGAGCAGAAGGAACGTGTCTCTGTGCCTTTACTCTGCGTGGTGGGTGTGTGCTGCATTTTCTCGCAGTGACAAGTGTGTCCCCCGCCCCTTACCATCACACTGTGTTCGCCTTGGGGACAGAAAGGAGTGGGCTCTTAAAACGGGTCTGTTGCCAGGGGACCCTCTCAACCTGAGGTCCTGGAGGCCGGCTGACTCTGAGCTTCCCCTGGAGGCTGAGAGACTTGTCGAGGGTTGTGGCTTCTTGCCTGGAGCACCTGCCCCAGGAAGGGGGGTGCTGTGCACACACTAAGGGGCACGGCATCCGTGTCGCCACACCGGGGGAGGGAAGCAACGACAGAGTCATGAAATGGGGGCCCCTCAACTCTCTGCTGTGTGTCCCCCAAAGACCCTGTAGAAAGAAAGTGCCTGGTGCTGGTGGTGCATTGGAGGCAGGACCGGGCAACGGGCCAGAGGGCTCGGGCCGCAGGCCCCCTCGCCCCATCCTGCCCGCGTGCCATGCGCGTCTCTGACATCGGGGCCTTTTTCCCTGACTTTGCAGCATGAGGCTCTGCCACCCACAGCAGACGTGACCTCATGCAGTTTCGGTGTGGGATTAAGGGCTCTGAGCAGAGTGGGAAGACCTCACAGAGTGATGAGCTTAATTAGAGCCTGGGGCTCGTCAGGAACCAGCTTCCCTCACTCTCTCCCCTGAGCTCCATTTCTTTTCCTTCTTAAAGAAGAATGGTCAGCACATGTATCACTCAGCGATTTTCACCGAAACACTTGAGACACCAATAGGCATAAGAGAAAGTCTATCAAAGAAACTGGGACCCACCTGTCAACCTCCTGCTCTCCCCGGGCTCCACTTCCTGCCGAGCTGCGCAGCCCTGGGCCCTGTTGCCCTCGGCCTGGCATTGACCACTGCATCTCTGCACCTGCGTACTTGACTTTGGGGACTTTCTCACAAACGATGGCATCCGGCTGCTGCGTTCTGACACGGCATCTTTGCTTAACTGCAGCTGAGTTCACCCCACTGGGGTCGCCTCGGGCTATCTTCTCCTGCCGGCATCTCGCTCGCTTGTACCACCTCTGTCCAAGCCCCCGGGCCTGCTGTTGCCGTGTGTAGCCAGACACTGCCGCTCCTCCCCAGGAAGTTCTGGAAATGCCCATTTGCAGGTCTGGGGAAACCTGTATACCGGCCCCTGCATGGCCCAGCCCTGGGGCAAGGACACCGTGTCCTCCAGGAGGGAGAGAGGGGCATGAAGGACAGTCCTAGTATGTTCTCCCCAGCAATCAATAGCGAAAACACAGTGAGACAGGGTCCTGGGAGGAAGTGCCCACCACAGATGTGCTCCGTGTTGCAGTCTTACCGGCTCACGCGTGTGGCATGTTCAGACGGGAGACCCCGAAGACTTAGGAGGCACAGAGAGGTGGCTCAATACCAGCGTCCCTCCGAGCCTTGCTTTTCTTTCGCACTGAGACTCACCACTGGGACCCGAGCCACAGGACCGCTCTCGGGGTGCCCTCCCCAGTCCTGCCCCACCTGCCGGCCTGCACGTGCACCCCACGTCACCCTGCCCTGAGGCTTTGACAAGTCTGGTTGCAGTTCAGAGGGCTGGTCTAGGCCATTCCCTGTAAGTGTCCACAGAAACAGTGGGGCACCCGATGGCGGTTTCATCGGACACGGACCCCGAGTTGAGGAAAACTGGTTACAAAGAGCAGCAGTTTTTGTGTCCGCAGCCCCTTCTCCCCGCTCACCCTGTGGGGGGAGGACGAGTGCCAGGCAAGCCCCTCCCTCGCTGGCAGGGACCCCAGGGCACCCACACTGCTGCCCAGCCCAACACCCTGAGCCCACAGACCCTGCTCTGCACCTCCCGGCCCCCAGCTGTCCCCCCCGCTCCCTGCCTGAAAGAGGGAAGCGTTGGGAGTCCCTCGAAAGCTGCCTGTCTCTTCCTTGCTCAGGATTTCATGAATTTTCTAGGACTCACTCATGTGGAGTTCATCTTTCTTTTGTTCTTAGAAACTTCTCTCATCTCCCTGGATGTTGGCAGAGCCGCACGCACGCACAACCTGCGTAGTGTGTCGTCAGCTTGGCGCTTGTGCGTCCTGTGCGTTTCTTTCTGAAATGTGGTGTCAAACAACCAGGATTAGGGACTTCGCATCTTCGAGCACCAGTGCCCCCCAAACCTTGGCCGCCCAACAGCTGTGACGCGTGCCAGTTTGAAGTGGGAGGTGGGCAAACAAGGCCGCAGGAAGCGCCCAGCGGTTGTAACCTGCCTGGCAGAAGGGCAGGTCCTTGCCCAACTCCACGTGTTGCTAGAACACGCTAAACCGGGACCGCTGAGCGAGCTGGTCTCCCGCCATGGTCGGGGCTCTGGCAGTGGCAGACCCCATGGCCAGCCTGGACCTACCGTCTCCGTGTAGCAAAGGCCTGAAGGAGGGACCCTGCCTGGAGAAGACAACCCGGCCACCTGGGCCTCTTCCATGGACACTGAGCCATGTGCGGCCTGAAGGGCCCGCCCCGGTCCTTCTGCTTGCGTTTACTGTGGCTGCAGGTGTCCAGTGGAGGGGTGGCCATGTCCCCTGTGGGCTCCCCAGGGCCTGTGCCTGGTGTCTGCTGTGCTTCCTGAGTGTGTGATCATGAGAATAGTGGGTCCTAAGGTCCCTGAGGGTGGGCATAGCTGTGGGGTCCTGGCAGGTCATTCTGGGTTCACTTACTCAGCCAACAGCTGGTGAAGCTGAGTGTGTAAGGTGAGGGGTAGCGTGGGAAGTGTGCGTGCTGCCCCAAGGTGATGAAGACCAGGGAACGTGGGCCAAGGGGCCCTGCCAGGCTGGGCAGAGGGGTGGGGGAAGGAGGGCTGGGCCGAGTTTACACCCTTCCCTCCATAGGACCACCATCTGGACCCACCGTGTGCACTTCCTGGAAGAACGGGCTTTGCCCCACTGGGCGACCTTCACCATCTGGAACGCAGGCAGGCAGGGCCGTCGACTCTACCGCAGCCTCACGGCCAGAGCACAGCGTAAGGTGTGCCCCGTCCCTCCGCACCCCGAGTCCAGCGGCACCAGCCCTGAGGCCAGCGTCATGTCTTCCCCCAGGTGGTCGCCTTCTGCGACGTGGACGAGAACAAGATCAAGAAGGGCTTTTACTGCTACGAAGACTCTCTCGTACGTGGGGTCCCGGGAGCCCCTGGTGGTGAGGGTTTGGTCATGCACACCACGCCAGGCTGGCCTCTGGGAGCTGTCCCAGGCTTTCTGAGGGGACACTCTGAGAAAGGCCCAGGCAGCTGCCAGGCCCCGCAGATGCAGCCCCCAGACTCCTGGGGTCTCTGAGGCCCCAGAGCCACCTGCCTGCACCCGAGTTGTCCTACCAGGTCTCCCTGTCACCCACCTTGGGTTGGTTCTGCAGTGGCTGTAGGGTGGCGATGCTGGGTCCAGCCCTGCGCGTCCAGCTGAGCGGTGCAGGGCACTGCGGGAGGAGCATGGAGCCCTGCCCTCAGCTGACCTTGTCCCTCAGGAAAGGCCCAAGCCCCGGGTGCCCATCCTGCACTTCCGAGCAGCCCGGCCGCCCTTTGTCATCTGCGTGAAGCTGGTGAGTGCTGGGCTGTGGCCATGGGGCATGAGGACCATGTGGCTGGGACCAGCCCTGGACCGCGAGGTGACAGACTGCTGCTCTGGGGCCAGAAGGGTGGCAGCAGCCATGGTGCCCTCCCGAAATGGGCTGCATTTCTGCAAAACCACACGGGTTCTCTCTGGTCACAGGGGCACTGGGGCCCACACGGCTGTGCCTGCTTCTCAGCCCCAGGCTTCACGTTGGGGCCCCACAGCGAGAAGCCAGGGCCCCTTCTCGCTCGCCTCTGCGGCTGGGTTGTTGAAATCATTTTCTTAGTCATGTGCCACCACCAAGTGTCCCCCGTGACGACACCTGTCAGTGGGCTCTGGGGTCATCTCAGGGAATCTGTGTGACTTGGACGGAGTCTGCCTGCTAGGTGACGACCCCCTCTCTGCTGCAGGGGTGGGGACAGCAGGAGGAGGCCAGGATCCATCAGCAGCTGGATGCTGAGGGCCCATTTCTGTCCCTAGGGCTGCTGCCCACCTGTGGCCCCTGCTGAGGTGGGTGGGGTCTGCTGCCCTCCTCAGAGGCACTGGACGGGCTGGGTGGAGATGTCTCACAGACCCACGCCTACCAGTGCCCGTGGGATGTTGTCGGCAGTGTTCTGCCCGCAGTGTTCTGTCGGGCCCTCCCCTCGGAGCAGATCAGCAGCAATGCTGAGGAGACCGCCTGACAGCTGGCCACAGGGACCCCAGACCTGAAGGGAGGCTCTGGGGGCCTCCAGTTGGGCCCAGGGGAGGTCCGAACGAGCCAGACCTGCTGCTCCTCCCGCAGGACCTGACAGGGGGCGAGTTTGAGGACAACCTGAGGTCACTGCACCTACGGGAGGGCCAGGACTTCCTCCACTTCAGCTGACAGACCCGCAGCAGCCAGGGCGTCAAGCAGGTAACAAGGGCTAGAGGGCAGCCTGGGCAGGACACCGCACATGGGACCTGTGGTGGGGATGTGGCAGCTGGTGCACGGCAGACCCTGTGTGCGAGGGGCTGGTCCTTAACCCAGCAGGCGTGTGACCCCACCCTCACCATGCACCTGATGGGTGTGCACACTCTGCACACACACCTCAGACCACGACATGGACTATGTCTTCTGCCACCTCATGACCCAGAAGACTTTGGGGTCACATACCGTGCGGTGAGGGGACCAGAGCTGGTTGGTCAGGGTCCTGGTGGATGGCCTGCGCTGCCTGCAGGGCTGCCAGGTACCAGTCTGGGTGGATGTGAGCGCATGTCCCAGGGACCACCTAGGGGCGCAGCCACTGAGCTGACTTCAGGGGGCACGTGGACCAAGACAAACCATCCATGAGAATAGCAGGAAATGGGCCGTCACCAACCAGGTCCCGTGTTCACCGCACTGGCCCACAGTTCGTCACCTGCTCTGCTCTGGCTACAGCCTGAGTTGTGGGGGCCCAGGGATTTCCACCAACTTGTCACTTGGACGCAGGTGGGCTCCAGAAGCCATCGCTGCACAAGGTGTTCGCTGCCACTGGGCACCTGGTATGAGCGCCTGGTGACCAGCGGGGCCTGAGGGTGAGCAGAGGTGGCTGGACGCTGTCCGCTGGCCAGCAGATCAAGTTCGTGTTCCATGCAGCACCAAGTGAGACCAACACTGGAGGTCCCTCCTGTGTCCGCGATCTCTTGTGGGCGTTTGTGCTACACCAGAGATTCTGTTCCTTCTCAAAGGCCTGTGCTTCGTTTTCTGCAGCCAAGGTCCAGATGCTGCTCAGCAGGCACTCCCCACCCCCAATCTGCTGTGTCCTGTACCTGGTGCACAGCAGGTGGGACTTTGTGTGGCTACCTCGCACCAGCACGGCCCAAGGCTGCTCATCCTGGACCCTCACCAAGTGGCCTCTGCCAGTCAAGGGGTCTCCAGCTAGTCCTCCATCTGAAATGGAAAACTCCCTACTTGAGACTTGCAGGAGGGATGCACACTGGGAGACCTGAATGGGTGCTGGTCTTCCCAGGTACAGCCCTCGCACAGCTGTGATAAAGGCTCTCTCTTCCAGGGGTTCGAGGTGATTTGCCACCAGGTTGAGCACATGGACAGGAAATGCTTCCAGCCTGTCCCGGGCTTGGCCCAGGCAGGAGGACGCCAACCCGATGAAGCCCATGGTGAGGTCACACAGCAGGGCCCACTGCAGCCTCTGCCCACAGACCTGCCGTCACCCGCGTCCCACAAGGGCAGGACGCTCCTGCCCAGGCACAGTCACAGCCCTGGGTTTTTGGCCCTGAGGATGGCACACTGACCCCTCTCCCTTGGAGGTGGGCAAGGGCTCCTGCATCCCGCACTCGCCTCCCCCTCTCCACCCATGACAACCCGAAGGACGCTCCCCGCAGGCTGGCCCCGGCCCCTCAGAGTCCTCGGCACTCAAGCAACAAACCCTTTACACACTGGCCCTCTGGCGTTTCGGACGCTCGGTGTGAGCTGGTGCTGGACGACTTAGAAAAAGGGTGACTTTTCCAGAGTCACGCACGTGAGCTGCAACACTTCCCACATCACCTGAACCCTCGTCCTGAGACGCTGCCCCCGGGTCGCCCCCTCGAAGCAGAGGCCTGTAAGGCTTGCCCCCAACACCCATCTGCCAGTCGGGGTCTGGCACTGCTGTCATAGGCCCGTGAGTGGCTGCAGCTGGCCTTGGCCAGGACTTTAAAAACACAGCGATGGACTTTTCTGGTTGTCAAAGCTGCATGAGGGTAAATGACACCCACATGTGCCGGACACTAGAATGGGGTGGGGTGGCAGGAACACCGATACCCTGATCCTGCCGGATGGGGCGGGAAAGGCCCCTCCAAAGCCCAGTGAAGCCCTTGCAGCACCTGACATTCAGCTGGGCCGAACCAGGCCTGAGGGGACATGGCCTCAGTACCAGCACAGCCTGCCCCTCCCAGGGCCACCCCATCCCCTGAGCAGCCGAGAAGGATGGAGCCGAGCCCTGTGGCCTCCAGTTCCCATGCCCCATCAGGCTGCCACCTCGCTCTGTCCCAAGCCAACCAGCCCCACCATTCACACAGACAGACAGACGTGGATTGCTCAGCACAGGATTTTATAAGATGTGGGTTTGCGTTTAAGACAAAAGCACCAACAACCCAGGCCACCCAAGTGCAAGACACATATTATAAAAAGCTGCCTCCGTGGTGACAAACTCCGAGTCCCTCAGCAAATGTACCAGCCAACGCACTGTGTCCAGGTTTTCTGTGGTCGTCACATCTGGCGGCTCCTCCATCAGACGGGCGCACGGGCTCAGCTTCCAGGACTGGCCTCAGTGGGCAGCGGGCTACAGAGGACATGGGACAGGGTCAGGCTGGTCAGCACCGTCTCCCTGCCATCTTTGTGCCACGTCCCCGGGGCCGTGTGTTTGGCAGATGGGGAGGCTCCTGTGCTGTCCTCCCTGACTTCACCCATCTGTGTGCAGAATTTTCCTAAGGAAAACGTAAGCGCACGTTTACTTGGGAAGCTGATGTCACCGCTGGCTTGTGCACAAGGAACAGGAAGAGTCACATGTTCGCCTGCCACCTGCATTCCTCACAGTGTTGCCGGAGGGCTGCCCCGCTCAGCACCTGGAGTGGGTGTCTGGGCTGCAAGAGAAGGGCGCACCCCGCTGACACCACTGCGGCACCAAGAGGGGCAGTAAGGAAACAGCACTCCGACAGACTCAGGCAGCCCAGGAGGAGCCACAGAACAAGGCGGGAAGGGGCTGAGTGGAAGGTGGGCCCAACCGGCGGCTCTGAGACAGGTCCCGAAGGCAAGGGGTCCCAGAGTGAAAGCCCCATACCCAGCGCTGCCCCTGCCTCAGACCACAGTGAGTCGGGAAGGGAGTTGTTGCTTCTGAAGTGGAAATGCAAAGAGAAGAGACAATGGGGAAAGGAAGAGAACAGCCAGGAGCTGTCAGACAACTGCACACAGACATGCAACACCTCCGCTCCACACACCGCCACGCCACGGAGTCCCTAGGAAAGCAGACTGCGCAGCAGGGCCCCAGAGTGCTCAGTGTCACTGACGTCAGTTCCCAGCAACCCCAGCCTCGCTCCTGCCAGGTTCCATTGTGCACACTGAGAAGTCGACTCAAGGCCACCTTGAAGAAAACAAAACTGGGGGCGGAGACAGCTAAGTGCCATGACCTAATGGATGCAAGACCTCAGACCACCTGCATCTCTGGGACTGAAGGGCCTACACATCTCTCTGTAAGGTGGGCTGGTGCTGGCTCAGTGACGGACAAAATGTCCATGGAGAATGGAGACTCCAAGGAGAGCCACGTACGTGGGCCCTGACATAGGACAATGGACAAGGTGCTGTGGCCAGAATGGGGCTGGGTCAGCTGCCCACAGAAAAATCCACCTGCTGACCCCTCCCTCAGCACACGCAGAACCCAGCAACAGACAGGTCGTGAATCTAAACGTCAATGATGGAACAAAGCTTTCAGGAAAAAAAATCAAGGGCTATAAACAAAACCTTGGAATAGATAAATGTATCTTCGACAGAATCCATAAGACAAGATAAACAAGGAAGAAGTTGTGGTAGGGTGGAAGACATTAGACCTAAGGACCAGAAGACAGTACCCTACGAATACAGTATCAAAAGATGGGCAACCCAGAGGAAACACAAAGATCTGACCAGGTGAAGGAAGAAGGTCCAAACGGCCAGCGACCATAGAGGTGCTCAGTCTCCCCCAAGGGAGGCGGAAGCCGAGCACACATGCTAACGAGCAGCCTCACTCCAGGCTCCGTCTCCAGCACTTCGTCACTGAAGCCATCTGCTCGGGGACCGGCCCTACATGCACAGGCAGGTTCCCCGAAGCTCCCACTGCACGTTAGACAGCAAGGCCTGGGTACTGGTGACAGGTGTGCGGGGACTGCGCACCACCCTGGGTGTGACCAGCACCAATGCCAGCAGGGCCATTCTTCCTCGTTCCCTGAGAAGCTTAGGCACCACTGCTCCAGAGCTTGGGCCCCGACCCAAGTCCAGGGGGCAGCCAGCAAGGACAGGGACAAGGGAAGGGAGTGGCCCCATCCCCGTGACCCCACTGCAGCTCTTGTGGGGCTGATGGGCAGACAAGCCCTGCGCCTCTGCCAAGTGCACATGGGAGTCAGAAACCCACCCATGGTCACAGAGAACCTGCAGGGACAGCTCAAGGCCCCAAGATGCAGGGAACTGCAGGGGTGGCACAGGCACCACAGACGTGGACACTGGTGGCTTCAGTGGACAGACCCACAGGCTATGGAGACCCTGTGGGGTGATGAGCTCCCAGGCTGGAGCATGTCAGAGGTGGCGAGGGAGCCAACATGGAGGAAGCAGAGCAGGCTCAAGGAGGCCTCCGCCACACGAGGGAAGAGAGTTTGGTCCCTGCCGGCTGCTCGGGGGCCAGAGAGGCTGGACTGTCACCCACCAAGCAGAAGGCCCACCCTGGGTGCAGATGATCCACGAGACACCCTAGATGTGCCCAGTGGGGCAGGGGGCCTGGGAGGCAGGGCAACTGGAGCACAAAACCCCTTCCTCCCGGAACTCAGCACCTGCTGTGTGGCACAGCTTGTCAACGCTGCTTGGAGAAGGGGCTGACCGGGGGGCCGGTCGTGTGGTGCTCCACCCCCAGCAGTCCCACAGGTTGTGTGAGCCCAGGATGCTCCAGACTGTAGCTCAGCACCACAGATCGATGGAGCCGTCTGTAGGCCTGGCACGGAGAGGGCCCCAGGTGTCCCTAGCGCAGCCTGACGGGGATGTGCAGTTAGTTACCTTGGGGACCAGCTGAGGTCTGGGTACTCCGAGAAGGTCACACAAGTGGTTCCGCTTGGCTCTCACTAGGTGCAGCTCCTCGTCCCTGGGAGGAGAGGGCAGGGCAACTTCAGCCACAAGGGAGGCTGCTGGCTTGGCGTCAAACCTGACACGAACCTTAAACTCTCAGTAAACTCCCTGTGGGGTGCAGACACCCCAAGGTACCTCAGATGAGGAGATCGGGGAGGGACGCCCACCCCAGAACCTGCACCCCGGCCCCCTCGTTCCAGCTCCGCTCCTGAACCCTTTTCTGGGAAAACTGCTGAAGGACACAGCCCAGGTACAACTGGGAACAGAAGGGAAGGGAAAGGAAGGGGGTGCCTGGTGGGGCCCAAAACATTATCACGGGGCTTTTTTAAAAGTTCTGTTTGATTTTAAAAGCTGTTCATTACTTTTAGTAAAAGTCAAATCTAGCAATCACAGAAAATATAAGGGGAGCTCCTTTTTAAGTAGAAAGGGACTGAGGTGCAGGGAGAGTCCCCTCTGCCCGAGGAGGACGGAGGGAGGGACCCTTCCAGCGCTGGTGTGTTCGGGCTACTTGGCTCTTCACTGTCCTTTTCAAGGTGAATAGGTGTTTTTACCAAGTTGACAGCACAGAAGGGGGTGTCACCCGTGCAGGAGACTGCCACCCTCTCCAAGGATGCTGAAGACAGACCCCAAGGATGGGGTCAGTCCCAGCTGCTCACAGAGCAGACCTCCCAAAACCACATTCCTCGGCTGGAGTAGTCACTGGGGGGCAAAGCCGTTCACGAGACTGTCTCCCTAGAAGGCTCAGACCTCACGGGAGCATCACTGTTCAGAGGGAGACACGTGTGGACATACCACATGCGTCCGTAGGCAGAATGCACTGACCTTCCCAAGCCTGGCATGGGCGGTTCGGGGCCAGCACCAAGACCTTGGCCACCAGGGCCCAAGCAGACTGCCACTGGACCTCTGCAAGCTTTGTGACACCTCCAAAATGGGGGTGAGGACAGGGGTGGGTGCGTGTCAGTGCATGGACATGTGAGGGCACACAGGCCAGTGTGTGCGGTACCTGGAACACGCCGAGCATCGCCTGCGCACCTGCTGCTCCTGGTCATCAGTGCTGCCCACCCGGACCCGCGCTTCCAGGCCACACCTCTCTGGCTTCCGGACGCCACCCACGCCTCCCCTCCTGCAGCGCTCTCCCACCCCCAACTTGACACATGTCTCCCGGAAATGCCGAGACTCAAGAAGCAACAGAGACTGCAAGAGAGTGCACCTAAAATGAACATCGAGACCTGCGGGCAGCTCACGGTCCTGCTGTGTCAGGGAGGCAACTGGCTCTGGGGAGGGAGTGGGAGGAACCCTGTTTCCCGTTTCCTCCGTCCTTCCTGATTTAACACGTCCACGTGTGGCCATTCGCACCGACTGGGCAAAGGCCTGCGGGCCCTTCTCAGAGGTGAGTGGGCACAGCAGCCCCTGTGGCAGCCGCGCGGCACGTGTTCCCACACCACACACACCATTGTGCTTCTGATACTGCAGCTCAGGCAGGGGCACCAGCCTCCGTCAGCACCCAGAGTCCCCTTGGTGGTTAATTCATGAAAACGGCTACAGAAAAATAAAATCTTAGCTCGCCTCCTTACATACAAAAAATTGCAGTGGAAAGAAAGGTCGTTTCATTTTGAAAACCCTCCCCTTGGACCCCAGGAGGTGCCCCATCTGTCTGCTCCCCTGGGGTGCGAGGGAGAGAGCCCCCCCAGTCGCCCTGTCCCCTCGTATAACCAAGAGCGAAGGCCATCGGGCCAGGAGCCTTGTCTCCTGTTCCCTTCAGAGGGTTTTGGGGAGAGACGGTGGGGACAGGAAGGGAGGGAGTCCCCATTCACTGTGATGTGCACTGTGATGATGCACCCTGGAGAACGGAGGGGCCCACACTCACCAGGCGGTGCCACTGAGCACGGCCATGACCTCGTCTATCACGTCCGCGCCCACAGTGTCACTGTAGGTGAGCAACATCTCATACACCTGGCTCGCGGTGGTCTTGCGAATCTGCAGAGGACACAGCCCATTGGGGGAGGGGCCAAGACACACAAAGCAGAGGTGACAGGGCCCTGGAGTCCGACTGAAACCTGAAAGATGTGCTGACCTCTGCCCCTAACTCAGGAGATCTGGCCACGCCCACATGTGTCCCCGAGACAGGAGTGGCCACCTGGTTCCTTG